TCTCTCTCTCTCTCTTCCCTGGTCCTTGCACGCACGGTAAGCTTCCTCCACCCCCTCTTGTCAACGCTCCTTCGATGGTTACCTGCTCCTATCAATGTCCACCCAGAGCCTTCTCTGTATGGTGCCAGACATGTTCTGGTCCGCACCACTACCTCAGAGTCTTGAAGGAAAAATGACGAGCACATGCAGCCACTGGGCTCCTTTTCTACAGCAGCTAGGGCTGAACACTCTCCAGGTAAGCTTCCACTTCCCCCAAACTTCAGACTCTTAACCCAGATCCCTCCTCTTCTCTCCGTCATCTATGGTGCATCAGCTCCTACTACTGAGTATGGCTACCACTTCCTCGCTCACTTTAGCTATGGCAGCCGTATGTTCTCTCCACAGAGCTAGCGCACTGGTGGCTCTCAACAGCACTCCAACAAGTGCAAGGCAAAATGCATGTACAAGCCGGGGCAGGCCCAGTTTCCATAGTGTTCACTCTGCCTGACCAGCCTCAGATCGCATCCTCGGATGACTGCGATTCTCAATCTGAACGGCCAAGATTTTTTTCCGGCCAGTGTGTGTGCCTTGAGCTGCCGAGCCCTGGCAGCTTCCGGAAACTGTAGCGAGCCTTTGGTTTGTGTGGGATCTGTGGCTGTGGTTGACTTTCTAAGGAACACTTGACTATTTGACTTCTGAGTCTGGGCTGGGCCTGACTGTTGATTTGCCTATGAGGGCCTACTTTGTGACTTCTACAGGCCCTGGGCAAGTCGATTTGACCCCCCTCCAATCCAGGTCCAGCCTCCACATCGATTCTGAGGAGCATCAGTCCAGTTCCTTTTCTGCTGGCAAGTCACATGGTAAGATCTTTTTTTTTTTTCTTTTTTCTTTTTTTCTTTTTTCTTTTTTAACACGATGATCATGTATGCTATCATGTCCCCGTACACAGAAAAAACTGGAATGCACAGTTTGCTGCAGACAACACACTTTGCGGCCATTTCCATAGCTCTCACCGCAGCAAAGAGATGGGCACCTTTAAACCACCACTACCTCCAAGCCTCTTTTTGGCGAGGTGGAGTCGAACTGCCCGCCAATGGGGGGCCGAAGCGCCAGCGCGGTGTTTTTATTTTCTTTTGGCTGGCACCGCCAGCCTTGTGGTCCAGTAACACCCAGCCTCCACCGGCCTCCAAAGAATGCGGTATAGGTACTATAGGGTACTTTTACGACTTAGCCTCCCAGCATGAAAGATAGTGGTGGTTTAAGGGGGGGGGGGGGGAGGGGAGGGGAAGGGAGGGTTGTGTATTCAATGTATGGGAAAGCCCCTGCAGGTTCCCCGCAGAACAGAGGAGACAGGGGAAGGTGGGTTATTCCAAGAACAGAAACATAATTTTTTTAGAGACAGAAATAATCATGATAATTTTTTTAGAGATAGAAAAGAATCATGGCAGACCTGCACCAGAATCCCAATCACACCCAACACCTACCCACCTAAAAGCCCACCGATCCGGCTCCCTGTCAACCTACCTACCTATCTGACTGTCTGATCTCTCTTGTTACTTCCCTCTCCCTACCTCCCTCCCTACCTCCCTCTCTCCGTCCCTCCCTGTTCCAATTGTTTGATTGTGATGATTCTGCAATAGAGGAGGATATAGCCATCTCCACCATTCAGAACTTAATCTTCAGAAAATTCCACTGATCATGCAACAAACAAAGAATATATAAGTCAGCTGAGAAGCACACAGGTAGCCAGAGATAGCTCAGCACATCCAGACAACTACCTTATTCTCCCCATCGACATTTATTACCGCAATCAGCCATTGGGAGAGGCAGGCAGGGGAGGGCAGCATCAGCAAGCGAAAGGGTTTCAAAAACAAAGCAAGCACACAATGGAAGAAGGGAGGTAAAGAGGGAGGGAAGGGGGAGGGACAGAAGGAAGGGACGAAGAGAGGAAGAGAGGAAGACAGAGAGAYTGAGTGAGGAAGGAAGGAAGGAAGGAAGGACGGAAGGAAGGAAGGAGGKAAAGAGGGAGGGAAGGGGGAGGGACAGAAGGAAGGGACGAAGAGAGGAAGAGAGGAAGACAGAGAGATTGAGTGAGGAAGGAAGGAAGGAAGGAAGGACGGAAGGAAGGAAGGAAGGAAGGAAGGAAGGAAGGGGGAGGGACAGAAGGAAGGGACGAAGAGAGGAAGAGAGGAAGACAGAGAGATTGAGTGAGGAAGGAAGGAAGGAAGGAAGGACGGAAGGAAGGAAGGAAGGAAGGAAGGAAGGAAGGAAGGAAGGAAGGAAGCCAGGAAGAAGGCGGCAAGGGAGGGAGAGAGGGAGGGAGGGAGGGAGGGAAGGAAGCAAGGGATGGAGGGAGGGAGGGAGGGAGGGAGGGAGGGAGGGACGAACGGACGGGTTTTATTGTGTATGCGAGTCGGTTGTGTGTGGTGTGTGGGAGAGTGCTGGCCTTCGACCCTGTTGTTACTCAATGGGGGTGGGACAAGGAATGAATGAAGGCAGGCAGGCAGGCAGGCAGGAATGAAGACAGTAAGGAAGCAAATGAATAGTCTCATGAGACAAGGGGGGAAGCACAACCAAGGATGGAGAAAAAACATGGGTGAAAGAGAAGGAATAGGAAAAGACAAATCGCAATGATTACCCGTTGTACAAGAGTGGACTTTTTCGGCTTCCCTACATATCGATGGCCTGTGATCTTCATGAAGTCTTCCTGGATCTCTTTACGACTAAGTACTAAGTATAGCTTTGGCAATTTCAATGGGGGCGGAGGTTCCAGCTCTTCGACTTTATGCCTCTGCGCAACCCTTCTCGACCTCTTCATCCCCCTCCCAGCACTGATAACAAGAGAATCGGCATCCTGTCTGTGTTCCACAGAAAAGACCAACAGAACAAGATCTTCAGCAAAATTGATGGCCACTGTAACCTAACCAACACTTCAACCCATAAGGACTTTGCGTTCCTATTCATTTTCCTTTTTTTTCCCCCCATACACAGCAACATACAATCAAGATGTTGCATACAAGCAGTAGTTTGCGGCAAGCATATGGCTCATGAAATGTGCCTTTCTGTCTGCCCCGCCAAGCCCTGAACCTTTCTTTCATGACTTCAGTATTGCACCCCCCGACAGTCGGCGGCCCTTGACTGGTCAGCACCTACCGGTCGGGGGTCGTCGGCACCCCCGCAAAAAAAAAAAAATACATATATATATATATATATATATATATATATAGACGGAAGCATGTAGTAAAATGGTTAACTTCAAAACTCCCTAGAAAAGCCATTGTAGATTCGTGATACCATTGTTGAATTAAAATTAGCATGCTGAGTAAAAGTCCTATGAATGATATTTTTACAAGCATACTTTTGTTTTCTTTTTGTGATACCAGATTAGAATGAAAAGATAAATAATAAATACACCATAGTATTAACTAATATAAAAAAAGAATGTAAGAATGTAGAATTCTATAGTAACTGTCTTTTGATAAGATACCATGAAATCTTATACACCACCTTTAGATTAGATTCCATCAAGAATGACAAATTACTTCACTTTTATGACTTAT